ACTGTATTACGCTGTACAATGATCATGATGATGATGATGCATTAGTAGCCAATTTAAATCAATATCAATCATCCCACAGTACTACTCACGAGTAATTGCGATCATTCTGATTTATCGTAGCAGGAGTAAAAGTCAAATTGTAGCATGGATGTGTAACTAAGATAAGCATTTCAGACAAGTTTCGTTTATCAGCAATTATGCTGAAACGTTGAGGGTTGTTCATCGTCGTTCCCTGCGTTGGTTATCTCGAAGAAGCACAACTGGCCGGATGTTTCAATCTGGTTGCGAATCATGAGCAGTGCGAGAATCCATCGACCTAGCTGGGGATCGAACCCGGAACGCAAGCATAACACCCCCCTCTCTCAACCACCGGGCAGCTTGCCAGATCGTATCTCATTTGAAATATACGTGTGAGGTCCCGGGTTCGATCCCCAGGTTGGTCGATAGATTCACGCACTGCTGGTGAGACCGAACCAGATGGAAATAGCTGCCTAATGCTCTTCAGCTCACGCTTCATTTACACAATAAATTCCTCGTTTAATTAAATCAGATCATCCATTTCTCTCAGATAAGTGTATAATTAGTTTTCAGGAAGGGAGACAAGGCCGCTAATCGGAAGACTATCACATTGTGCAGTTGAAGTGAGAAATTTTAGGCGAGAAAAGAAATATTAAATCCGTGAAGGGAAACGTTTGGATTAGCCATGACGATGAAAAGCCAAAAAACAAGTTTATTTTTGGTGACGACGTTTCGACCCTCTTGGAAGGTCTTTTCCTTCACGGATCTGATACTATGAGCATGACGCACAACTACTTCAATAACATCCGTTCCAAATTTGAATCTGATATTGTGAGAAAAGAAGTACCTGCGATGGAGTGCTCATTTCCGTTGGTGGTAGCAGAGTAAGTCGATTAATAGAAGATAATAATAAAGTCAAATGAATTCGTCGGTGGAAGTGTGTGTGTGCGCGTGTGTGTGAACGGATGCTGTCAACAGGCAATGGTAAAAACATTGACCGAGGGTTTCATAAATTTGGTGGTCCTGAGTGAAGCAAGGAATGGTCTTGTGCACCCGGTCCTCGAAAGTGAAAGCGCGGGGAGAGGCTAGATCTAGGAGGTTTGACCAGTGCGGCCGAACTATCTAATGCCAGGTGGTCACAATTAAAAATCAGTGAGAGATGGACAACTTGATTGTCCTATTCGTCACTGCCCTAGTTAGCAAAGATGTGTTCAATTTCTTGGGCAATGACTAATAATGTGGATGGTGAAGGAAGGGTATTCGTTTCCGAGGGATTGCTGTTCCTCGCCCCCGGGGAGATCACATTGGTGTTCTAGGGGATTAGAAATATCGTATATTTGAAAAACACGCAAAAAAACTACTCAGAATTGGGGCCATTATGAGTGGTGATGTTAGGGTGTGTGTGTGTGTGTGTTGGGCGGCGGGGAGGGGGCGCCGGAGTTTCGAAAACAACTTATGTTTGAGTAAGCTCTATCGTTCCATTTACCTACACACACACACATACACGCATATATTTCTTTCTTTTCAGGAATGGATCCATTGTGTTCTGGAATATGCCCGAGTCGGAAGTGAGTCTCTGCTCATTGCTCTCTGATTTCAGTGAACGGTATAGTTCACGTGACTTAATATACATGATTATTTGTCTGGTCCTACTTTTCTTTTTCATAGATCTTTTTATCCGTTAGTGCTTGTTTGATTTAGCACAAATGAGTTGGAGGGATGGAGATAGCGAGGTTAGGAGAGATCGTTGACTGAACGAATGACTAAGCATGCATTTATACACGTGTTGCGCATATCTGTCGGTCGTCGAATAATCGATCGATGCTAGATTGCGGTTACTGCTCTAACGGTAAAAATAGCCACATTGTGGATTAAAAATGTCTACTGAAATGAGCAACGAAGAACTGTGGAGAGACAGTTTACGCTCATTTACTTATCAGCATTATGCAATATGCTTATGTGTAATCAATGGGGCTAGAGAGGAGGTCATCAATGTTGATAGTAAACTTTTGCATTCACACTGTTGATCTTCATTCTGGTCGCCATTCTTTAGTATCCAGTCGACGACTGTTATCTCTCAGGCTCCAGCTGTAAGGACCAAATGCGATCAATACTGACGTTAACTTCGTCATATACGCCGTCAATGCATTGATTGGTCACTGTAACACTTCTAACCATCTCCAGAAGTCGCTTGAAACGATCGATAGTGAAGATGGTAGACAAGCATGTTAGTGGCCAGGTCCCCAGGAGGTGGTGTGGGCGGCACGCTTGCGTTCTTCCGGGTTCGATCCCCGACTGGGTCGATTGATTCACAATACTGATGAGACCCAATCAGATCCAGTGCTTTCTAGCTTTTCAGTTCATGCGCTGTTTGCGCTGTACACGATACAATCCATCACATAATTGAATCAAACCTTCCACTACTCTCAAATACTCAATTCACTGACGGGACCGTAATCAGTATCCAATGACCGTCATCAGGCTTCGTCATTGCTTGCATCAGATCGCTCCTAGACATGGGAAACATCTCGGAGACGGGAATGGTCGAATTGTGATATCGTGCACCTGTCTATTCATAGAAAGACTAGTCTGGATTTTTCCCGTTCGCAATATCATTTCATCCCCAATATCTCCGCCGGGTGCTTCTTTTTTTACTCTCAAATTAACCGTGACTGTCCACTTGAACCTACTTCTCACCAGCCACAGTGGTTTGAGAAACAGATTCATATCAGGTTTGATGAACCGTTTTGCACTTGAGACGAACGAGCAAAACGAATCATGTTCAGCAATCGTCACACTGTTTACCACAGTAAATACTGTACTTGCATGCATTTCATCGAAAAACGCGGTATCAGCATCATTTATTGTATTCTCTTGGATTTTTTTTGAAGCTTTAGCGAGTTGTATACAAGCTTTCAGCTCAAACGGAGATCAAAGTCAGAATATCGACCGAGGTGAGAGGTGCGGCACCAGGTGTGCAAAGAGCATGCAGATAACCGAGATGGGATGAGTTTGTATTTGAAACGAGTGAATGGGGTGGTATTTGCAGGTACACAGGTCAATGTGTAGACGGTGGATACAATCAGCAAACTTCAAGCACACGCATCAATATGGACATTTTATTTATTTTTATTACACACTCGTGTGATGAACAGCAGACGGGGCGGACCCTATATTATCATGGAGACCTGCTACTCCTTCATGGAAACCGGTGACCTAAGCCATATAGCCCATATTGCCAATCAGAACCGATAACGGAACTTGGGAAACGGTGCTGTTCATCATTGAGAAGCCACGCCTCAGCCTTCAGCAGACCACGGCAAATTTCAGGGGTGCAGCAAAGAGGTATAGGGAGAACATATTGTTGAACAAAAACTCCTATCCCCGACAAATCAGAACAGAAGTGACGCAATCTTTTTATTTGAAAAGAGAGAACTTTCAACTTGCGAGCAACAGTTTGGGTGTGCAATGAACAGCGTAGATTACTTTCAAGTGTGACACCTAACAACTTCACATGACTGACCCTGTTCATCGGCTTTCCCTTAGTCTGTACACTGTCGGAGAGAGATGGGGGAACGGTTGAGAGTAAAAAATACATTGAACGCATTTTTCCGGATTAAGATTAAAATCGGAATACGTAACGAGGTGGGATTAGTTTGTGTTCTATGCAGCCAGTTGTGTATTGATTATATGCGGAAACCGAAATGGGGATATCATTTAGCATAGTGTGAATGTCGTACGGGGGAATTAATACGTAAGTCACTGATGTAAGTCGAAAAAAGATTGGTAATTTAACAGAACACATCACATCAGGTAAGAAAAAATGATTGTCATTTTTCGCCGTCGGTGGGCTTGAATTTTGACGCTCCCCCTCTAGCTGCCGCCGCCGGATCCGCAGAACTAGGTCGGGTGTACCTGTAGATGCTATCTTATCAATCTATCTTTTTGCGACTAACACGAGTGACTTTCATATGACTCCCCCCCCGCACACCGTTTTAACTATGCTAATGATATCACCATTTGGGTTTCCGTATCTAAACCAATCAGAACTGGTTGAATATAACACAAACCTCGTGCCCACGTCGTTTCATATTCCACTTCATCCGGGGTTCGATTCCAAGCCTCATCTAGCGTTGTCTGTCGTTCATCACACCAAAGTGTGCAATAAAAAACCGCGTCCATGTGATTTTCCTTGGTTTGTCGAAGGCCGATTTCACGCTGCTAACGCGTAGCCTCTCAATGTTCAGCCGTGTTTCCCAAATTCCGTTTTCTTTTCTGATAGACAATATGTGATGGTCATATTAATGCGTGTGCTTGAAGTTTGCTGACGATATCCTATCTGATTGCACCCATCATTCACACATTGACCTATGTGCATAGTCAAAACCCACCCATCCATCCGTTCCAAATATAAACTCATCCCATCTCGGATATATACCTACAGAAACTCTTTGGGCTATGACAAACAGGGGGAAATATTCGTTCTGAACTACTTTCTAATGCATTTAGTGTTTAATTCATATTTGTCACATTTTGTCAGTATTCTAACGTTGATCTCCTCTGGGATGAAAGCTTGTGCATCACTCACTAAAGCTTCAATACAATACAATAAAATACAAGCATCTCAGTCAATGTGCGCAATGCTGATTACTTCTCGGTATTAACTTTTGTGGTGACTATTATACGGAACAGTTCGAATATTTTTGGGGATTTTTGATGGGTTTTTGTAATAATAAAACTGTGATGAAAATCGTAATAGGTGGTCGTAAGCAACTTGTTTTCGTAGAAGAATGTAGGCAGAATAATCTCAAAGACGTACAGCTTGGAACTACTACTAAGGTTGCACATGCCCGAAGGTGAAAGTGGGCCGGACTACGACTCGATTTGATTGGCGGCTAAAAATACTCCGATCTCGGGATTCCTTTACCCTTAAACATCCATTCCAGTTTTATCACCACCCCGATTCGGGGCTAAACACGAAGTTGACAGTGATTAATTTCTAACCCCCCGATGGAATTCGGTTTGGTTTTTGACTTATCCCCGTTGAAAGTTGCACCCATCTCCGGTCAGAAATCGAATTCGTTTCGTTCTACATCGAACATCCTTTTCGACTTTGTTTTTTTAGCATCGTCTAGTTCTCAATCGAGTACGGCGCTTCTGTTCCGAGATTCTCCCACCCCAGTTGGTCGAACGTGAAGATATGCAGTTTCGATTTACCGAGTACGTCATCTTCCTTCACACACACACTCCCACCACTCTTTCTTGATCTTCGTATTATCTTGCACTGTTTTAGTGCAGTATTATTCCTTAATCGATGTAAGGGCTTGAGGTAATCCAGACAGACGATGTATAGCAAAGGGACAAACCCTATAATTATAGAGGTTACTGTGCTTTGAAGAGAAGAGCGAATTCATCCTATATATATATATATATATATATATATATATATATATATATACATAATTTCACACTTGTCTGAGAACAAACTGTGTGCCAAATAAATCATGATACAATAATCTTTATTAAAAAGAAAATGTTCCATGATTGGCTTGTGGGCTGAGTGCTGCCAGATTGCCCAGGCCAAGGCAGGCGAATTTTCTTGAGGAATCCACAACCGGAGCCTTCGGCTG